AAAAAAAAAAAAGAAAAAAAATTTATCTAATTCGTAAAATGAAATATTTGAGATAAATATCATCGTTACCTTAATTGTGGAACGCTCAATGGTCGAAGAAGACTTTTAACAACAGGAGGAACGTCGCTGGATTTTGGTAAAGCGGGGCTACTCGCGCAAAGGGCAGCGCTAGTTAATTGCGAGACCAGAGAAAAACTTCTGTCTGGTCCAGATGTTGTGCGAAAAACTTTTCTTATTTTTGATTTGAGCCCCGAAGATGACGACGACAAGGGTGTAGTAGGAACTGGCACGACCTATATCAAATATTAAATACATAGAGTATTAATATTAATATATTTTAAAGGTTAAAAATTCCGAATTTCGATTTTCCATTCACCAATTATTCGAATATAAGACGATTATATATATTTATTATTCTGGAATTTATTTTTCAACGTGCATTTTTCTTATGACATATATATTATCAGATATCCAAACTCCAATTGGATCAAGAATTTTATTCGAAATTCGAATTCTAAAAATGTTTAATCGTATAAGTATGATAAAAAAAAAATAAAAGATACTAAAAGTACCAGATGATTAAAAATTTTCGCGATTCAAATTTGGATCTAATCCGATCCGATCTGAGATCAAATATTCGATTATTCGAAAGAATCTATTTCTTAATTAATTCGAATAATCATTGTTCCATTATACTCTCTTTGGAAAGATATGTCGTTTCTTTCGATACAATTTTCTAAATTATTTATGAAATAATCTTTAGAATATATATAAGTATCGTGAAGATAACAACATAATAATCATTTAGTAACAAAATACTAATAAATAATAATTTTAATAGATAATTTTAGAGTTTATCATCGCGATAATTTTCATTAAAAATCCGTTTACCTTTCCTTGTAATACTTTTGCTGCCAGTTCAGGTTCACTACCCCACCGACAAGAAGTTGATCTTTCAAGAAGTCGATGCCTAGCGAACCTTTCGATCACTTCAGCGCACACGTACCTCCCACAAAATCTGGCCCATTGTTCCGCTCTCAATCCTCTCCCGTGATCTCTCAATGTCGGATTCGCGCCTGTAATTCAAACGCGACAAGTTCCAACGATTTCTCGTCACTTTATTTCTTCCTTTAAAAAAAAAAAAAAAAAAAGAAAAGAAAAGAAGGAAAGAAAATTAACTCACCGGCGAATAACAAAATTTTGGCGCATTTAGTCCTTCCTTGAAGGGCTGCCTTCATCAACGGTGTAAAACCCGACGCGTTCCTCGCGTCCACCTCGATGTCCGGACACCTTTGAAGGAGTATGTTCAAACATTCCGTTTGCCCTGATT